TATGACCTCGATCCGCATGAGAAGAAGGCGCGAGAGATGATGCTTGCGAGAGAAGCACAGGCGCAAGCAAGGAAAGTTACCCAAGTGAGAGGAGCCGGACCAGAAAGCACTCGTGCGGGCAGACCACTTCCACGGACCGAGGCCGAGAGAATACAAGCAGCACATCGGGAGATTGCAAGACGGAAAGCACTGGAGACACATGAAGAAAATCGAGCACATTTGATTGGAGTAAGGAGCGGGTCGACAGGTCCGAGAATACGGCATTCGCTGGGCGATTCGGATTGGAAAATTCTACCTTCTACCGAAGATAAATCCAAATGGAGACAGTTGAGGTCACAAAGAGATTCTACGGCTGCAACTCGACCTACCCAGGAGGATCGACAAAGACCTCGGCGGTATGACTTCGCGGAAGGGAGAGCACAGAGAGAAGAGCAGGCTAGACACGGGAGATATACACCACTTTCTGCGAGACCAGAGGGCCGGGACTTTTCAGGGAGGTCGTCTTATGGAGCACAGTACCCTTCACAATCTGCTGGGAGCCGGCGTCTAGATCTCTCGAGACCTTTAACTGAGGACTCCCCTGTGCTTGAAGAGGTACAACGGCAAAGAGAGATAAGCGACCGATTTGAACCCAGGCCCCAAGTCAGTTTCAAGCCCATGGCTCCAATTGTGGAACAAGATACATCGCGAGGGTTCGAAACGAATTCCAGACCTGTCGAGAAAACCGTGGAGGAAAAAGGAATTGCTGAAGAGGAGGAGGAGAGTCGAAGATCAGGAAAGGAAAAGAAGCGAAAAATGCGTGGACGACAAGCTCAAGAGCCTAGTTACGAAGCCGTGCCCAAAGGAAAAGGAAGAGACAAGGCCAAGCGACGAGAGCAGTTCGCCAACTATGACGACGAAGAAGCGGATCTGGATGCTGCTCTAGCACGAGCCGAAGAGAAAGCGCGGCGAAAACGGGAAAAGGCTGAGAAGCGAGCAGCGAAAGCTGCGGCTCCAACTCCAATTCTTTTACCTGAGTACATCAGCGTGTCGAATTTGGCTGTGGCTCTCAAAGTTAGGTTTGAGGAATTTGTCTACAAGATGCAGGAACTTGGATTTGAGGAAACAGGCCATGATCACATTCTGAACGCTGAGAACGCTGGCTTGATTGCCCAAGAGTACAACTATGAGCCGATCATTGACCGTGGGGAGTCTGAAGATCTGAGAGCGAGAGAGCCGGCTGCAGATCCGTCATCACTACCTCAAAGACCTCCTGTGGTGACAATCATGGGTCATGTTGATCATGGAAAGACAACATTGTTGGATTACCTTCGAAAGTCCTCTGTTGCTGCTACGGAACATGGCGGAATTACCCAACATATCGGAGCTTTCTCGGTCCCTATGCCATCAGGGAAAGTCATTACATTTTTGGATACTCCCGGCCATGCCGCTTTCCTTAGCATGCGCCAGCGCGGTGCAAATGTTACTGACATTGTTATTCTCGTAGTGGCAGCTGATGATAGTGTCAAACCACAGACAATCGAAGCTATCAACCATGCCAAAGCAGCCAAGGTTCCAATGATCGTCGCTATCAACAAGATTGACAAGGAAGATTCAAACATTGACCGTGTGAAGCAAGATCTTGCTCGTCATGGTGTTGATGTGGAAGATTTTGGTGGCGACACTCAGGTTGTCTGCGTCAGTGGAAAGACTGGTCAGGGTATGGGAGAATTAGAGGAAGCCGCGGTCACTTTGTCCGAAATTCTTGACATGCGAGCCGAGACGGATGGCCAAGCAGAGGGCTGGGTCTTAGAAGCAAGTATCAAGTCTATGGGCAAGGTAGCTACCGTACTTGTCCGAAGAGGTACCATGAGACCAGGAGACTTCATCGTTGCAGGCAAGACCTGGGCAAGAATTCGCTGTCTTCGAAATGAGGCAGGTGTCGAGATCGAAGAAGCTGGTCCAGGAATGCCTGTCCAGATCGATGGTTGGAGAGAGCAACCACTTGCTGGTGATGAAGTTCTACAAGCTTCTGATGAGAGCAGAGCCAAGAGCGTCGTGGAATACAGACTTGAGAAAGAAGAGCGTGACAAAATGGCCGAAGATATGGAAGCCATCAACGAGAATCGCAAAGCCGAGCAGGAGAAGCGAGAGCGTGAAAAAGCAGCGGCCGCTGCTCTTGAGGCTGTGAAGGAAGCCGACACAGTACATCCAGAGACAGGCAAAGTGGCTAAGGCAACTGGACCGAAGGACGTTTACTTTATCATCAAAGGAGACGTCAGTGGATCTGTGGAAGCTGTCATTGACAGCATATCAGCACTGGGCAACAAGGAGGTTCAACCGCATATCCTCCGCTCTGGTGTTGGACAACTTTCCGAATTTGATGTTGAGCATGCGGCTGGAGCCAAGGGACATTTGATCAATTTCAACACACCAATCGAGCCCAACATTGCAAGACTGGCGGAACAAGCCAAGGTCAGCATTATCGATCACAACATTATCTATCGGTTGGTAGATGATGTGAAGGCGGAACTAAGTAAACATCTTCCCCCCTTGGTTACTCAACGTGTGTTGGGCGAAGCTGAGATCGCTCATATTTTCGAAATCAACGTTAAGGGACGACAACACAAGGCCGTTGCTGGATGTAAAGTGAGGAATGGTACCATTGCGAAGAATGCTAAAGTTCGGGTCATGAGGAAGGGCGAGAAAGTGTTTGACGGTATGTTTCTTCACCTCATATCGGATCTTTGCTGACATGTCTAGGCACACTTGCCTCACTGAAGAACGTCAAGAAGGATATTCAAGAAATGAAGAAGGGTGGTGAGTGTGGTATGGGCTTTAATGATTGGTTTGATTTCCATGTTGGAGATCAAGTCCAGTCGTATGAAGAGAAAGAAGAGAAGAGATACCTGTAGATTATGTACATATAGATTGAGATGCATGGTGGAGGCGTTTCTTGCATGTAGTTTCTAGATTTGTATTGTCCATAGATACACCACTCTTAATGCATAGAATTGCAAGTGGAGATTAGCCCACGTGATTACGCCTTTGTAAAGACATCGGGATAATTCCTTCCCTTATCGCCCACTCTCGAAAGACTTTTCCAAGAGTTTATATTTTCGTCGCTTCACGTAAAATACAATGGATGCATCCAAACCTCTTCACGTTGTCCGCCTGGACGGCATCCACACTCCAGACCCAATCTTCAGCCCCTCTTTCAAGCACACCTACACCAGCTATCCCTCCGTCCCCTTCGCAACACCCACAGTCATATCCCACCTCAGCACTCCCAAACCGGCCAACATAGCCATCACAACCCGTATCCCAATCACTGAAGAAACGCTACAAGCATGTCCGGACCTCAAACTCATCGCCGTGCTCGCAATCGGTACCGATATGATCGATCTCGCTGCATGCAAGAAGTATGGCGTTACGGTGTGCAATGTGCCTGCTGCAAGTAATGAGAGTGTGGCTGAACATGCTATCGCACTGTTTTTTGCTGCGAGGAGGAAAGTTGCGAGGATGCATGGGTTGACAGTTAATGGTGGGGAGTGGGGGAAGACGGGAAGTTTGAAGAATGAGTTTGGGGAGTGTCCAGGGACTTGTAGGGAGGAGGTTGTGGGGATTATTGGGGGTGGTGAACTCGGTGAGTCTATTTTCAAGTTCTACTTGTTGTTTTTCTTTCGAAGATATAATCCTGAGAGAGATACCGCCTCTCATACTGTGGAATGTCTAGCTGATAAAATGCAGGAAACAGAGTAGCGACCATATGTCGAGCTCTTGGTTCAAAAGTCCAATTCGCAGAACGCAAAACCAGTTCTTCTGTCAGAGAAGGTCGCATCTCCTTCGAGGAGTGTCTCCAGACAAGCACAACCATATTCCTGACGCTACCACTGTCACCGGAATCACTCAGCTTGATTTCAACTCCAGAATTTGAACTTATGCGAGAGGATGCTGTGCTGATTAATGTTGCCCGAGGAGGAATAGTCGATGAGAATGCTCTTGTTCAAGCGTTACAAAAGAGAAAGATTCATGCTGCGGCTACGGATGTATTTATTGAGGAACCTGCGGGTATGGACAATGTGCTTGTAAGGACGGCGCATGATTGGAGGGAAGAGGGGAATGAACTTAATGGGAGGTTGATACTAAGTCCACATATTGCGTGGTGGGCGAAGAGTAGCATTGAGAAATTGAGGAGAACGGTTGGCGAGAATATTGAGGCATGGGCGAAAGGGGAACCCAGAAACATTGTTTTGTGAGATTTCAGAGAAACAAAACGTAGATCAGATCGCGCTTCGACAGTTGGCAGATCAAAAATGGGAGATACTTGCAAGTGTACTTTTGTCTGGGCCAAGCGAGTGGATCCGAAGTTCACCTGCAAAATTTTCACATTCGCTTCGGTACAACAAAATAGCTTTCCAAGTAATAATATACTAAGAGTTATTATTGCTTCGTTCTGCGTCCGAAATGAGATAGGATACCAGTCATAGTTTTGAAGTTCCGAAGTTCGATTCAGCTAGCGAGCTGAGGTTTCGATCACCGCTTCAGCAGTCTGGAGCCAACAAGTCAATGACATAATGACACAACAATTCGTTTGTATGCTCCAATTGCCTGTCAAGAATCCATATGCATTCCGTCTCTTACCTTGAGAAGAGCTTGAAGTTCTCGAGTGTGACGTCTTACATCAATTGGGGGATCGGAGACTACCCGTTATGCGGCAAAGCTACGCCTTCAATCCCAAATTACTCTACATCTGAAAGTTCGTACTGTAACGTGACATACCCCCACTCTTCTAATTAACCCACTTCCGCTCCAGGGATTGTCTTACGCAATAAGATCCGCTCCAAGCCTCGCTTACTTCAGACGGCCTCACAATAGGGCCGCTTCGTCGAAGAATGGGGCTGAGTAATTCGCACATGGTCACACACAAGGTTACACAAGGCCAGATTTTGCTATTGTACGTATGTAGTGAAATAAGAAAAAAGCAGACATCACAAGCAGCTCAAGCGGCTTTAAGGTCAGCCCGGCTGGCACAATTGGTTAGCGCGTGGGCCTTTTAAACAGAATCAGATAGCAATATCTCTTCTAATGAGAGCCCAAGGTTGAGAGTTCGAGCCTCTCGTCGGGCGAATTATCATTTCTTTTTGTCTTTATTGCGTTCCTTTTTGTTCTTGTTCTTGTTCTGCTCTTTGTATCGAGTTTCGGTGGGGCATATTTTTTTTTCTCTCGAGCTTTTTTTCTTCCGTACAATAGGCTCAAAATCTTTGCAGGGTACCTTTACAATGGCTTACATCCTCTAATCACCAACGGGTTGGTATGCAAAGGCTTGTGAAGAGCGTAGTAAGTGGTTCTATGTCAAGTGTCGGAATATCCGCCTACCAAAGTCTATGACATCACTTCAAAAGTTTGAAACGACGCATTATTATTTGATGCTCAGTACTCATGATAGTGATGCATATGCAATTAATATTAATTGTTTTAAGAGAGCCACTGACAAATCTTCATTTCTTAACGAGAAAAGAATTTTTGAAGTGATGGGATGCCTTGCTCAGCTACTCCGGCTAAACGAATTCCAGGCTATGGTCGCCGTAGGTACAGGCCCCAGGCTCCCAGGACTGTCACAGCATGAAAATCATTCCGTCCTCGTGAACATGATAAAACCGTTTGACAAGTGCTTTTAAACAAAAAGCGAATGATATGGTCGGACATTGGAAGTGCCAGGATGCGATCCTCATATTTGACAGTGACCTTGAAATTAAGTGACATTCACTGTCAAGCGCAAGGGCTATTGCTGCCGATGAGTTTGAACTAAGGGGCTGCCAGAACTCAGCATCAAACGCCGTTAAATAGAAAAATGGAACCAGTGCGCTTGAAAAGACGCCACCTTTGTGTAGAGCCTCTCTTATGGGATAACTATTTCTTCTAACTGATGTCAAGCCCCAATACGCGGAGATCTTGAGCACTAGGATTTAGGAATTATAGCAGATGTGTCGTCTTGGCCAAAATTGACTTCACTGGCTACAGGGGCGTCCAAGAGCGGGAGGTTCGATTGTCACGATTGTGTGGACTTCGCCTTTGAAGGACCACTCCAAGTGCTACGGGTGGACAGAATGAGTTATGCCCTCACCTAAGGAAGCTCAAAGGGGGCTGAAATGTGCAACTACTGCTACTAAGTCAGTGAAGTCGGCTACGATAGCACACCTCGATTCACCTAGACCTCGCCCTTTCCTCGATTTTACTGATATGAGACCATCACCAACTAGGCTATCCAAGGCATCGAACTAGCTATTATATAGTAATGAACATCGAAGATAGAATACTGATACTAGATTGAGCTATGTCCGACTCGTCGGAAGGATCAGGTTGCGAGACGCAATCGGGGTAGCATATTGCTTCCAGCGTTTAAACATTCACTTTAAGCAAAGCTTCTATCAGGCTTGACAGACTTTAAATACTCGTATGTAGACGTTTTACAGATACCATGTCCCTGATATAACGATCGCTAACCTACGATAGAGATCTATGAAAATGTTATCGCTGGTCGTATGGAACAGACTTGAGCATGACAGAAATTGAAACTCGTTTAAAAGATCTGCACTAAAATGATAAGAAGCCCAACCCAGCCAGGGGGACCCAAATAGGGGCACGGCTTCTTAAATAGACTCCCCAGCTATTCACTGCATCACAATTTGGAGCGAGAGATAAAGCTAAGCGGGGACAGGAAAGACAAAAAAAACACTGGCATGGAACAGACGCCACATTCGGGGAAAATTTTGGTTATACGGGCCAGTGTCGAACATCGTTGGAGCTGTCGGGACACACGAATTCATCGACGCTGCATTAAGATAATTTAATTAAGATAATTTCATTCAGATAATTTAATTAAGATAATTTCATTCAGATAATTTCATTTAGATAATTTCATTTAGATAATTTTATTTAGATAATTTTATTTAGATAATTTTATTTAGATAATTTTATTTAGATAATTTTACTAAGATAATTTTACTAAGATAATTTCATTAAGATAATTTTACTAAGATAATTTCATTAAGATAATTTCATTCAGATTATTCTATTTTAAAAGAATTCTTTTATCTTAAATAGATTCTTTTCTTAAGATTCTTTTCTAAGATTTATTTCTTAATATCCTTTCATTAGGATAATCTATTTAAGATAGTGTTAGTATTAAAAGAGGCTTCTAAGAGCTACTAACCAGTACTTTGAGAACTCTTTTCGATGCCAGAAACTTCATCAGACTCATCCCACGGTACTCTATGGATGTCTACGAAATCTGCAAGCTTCCCATGGGTGTTATCCCCTTTCTCTGGTATCTCATGCTTGTCCGTTATTGTCTCCCGATGTATGATTTCATGCACAAGGTCCATGATATCCTCGACGCCAGTGAGAAAGTCGTATGTGTAACGTGTGTGCCAAATCTCTGGTTTGCTCATGGCCTCCTCAACGACTCTCTTAGGCCAAATTTTTGTTGTTCCTTCTTGAGCATCCCTCTCGTCGTCGCTTTCTTCGTCACTTTCTTCTTCCTCTTGACCGAAGACATCCTCCAGAATCTTGTGGAAAGCGTCAATTGCGAGGTCCTTGGTGCTTTGATGCCTTTCTCAAGCTCAAAATTCTCGTCGACAACCGTGAGCGCCGTTTAGGCCTTGGCGAGGTTTGTCTGGTCTCCCAACTCCTTCACCTTTTTCTCTTCTTTATGTTTGTCTTCCGCTTTCCTGTTGAAGATGCATCCGTCTTCATCGCTGAAGTTGCTTGAGGGGTCCTTTCGGAGCTCCAGAGATTGTCCCACACTGCTGTGATGGTCGCGGTAATGGTCTTGGTGGTCGAATATCATCAATTTCTCAGCTAAAATCATGGCTGTTTGAACCTCGCGCAACAAGTCTGAGGTGTACTCAGCGGCGAGTAGAGCTGGCCGTCGATCCAAAATTAATTTGGTCTGTATCCACCAATTCTTCACAGTTTCGCTCCTTGGATCCCCAAACTGCACAGCTCAATAATTAAATGCCTCTTTGAAGGTATCGGGCCGCGTTCCCATTCCGAAGTGTCGATGCCATCGTCACTCAGGTGGTCCTCGATCCGAAACTCTTGCAAGGAATCTTCCTCGAGGTCTTGAGATTTTTGAATAGCGGGAATGTCCTTCAAGTATGCATGCCGTAACCTGTAACGTGCACCAAGTTCGTATATGTTTCCCGTAGCTTCTTGACTGCGGCTTTTGACATAGACTGGATATTTTCTTCTTCTGTAATCAGAGACGCAAGAGCATTGAGCATTGGTGCTTTCTTTTCGACGGCCAAATTTTGCATTGAGGCAGCCAACTGGACAGGTGTTGTCCTTGGCAATGGCTAAGAAAGAGCTGGAGGTAAAGCTTGAGGAGGAGCTTAAGGAGGAGCTTGAGGAGGCTGAAGAGGACGAGGACGTTTTGATCGCGCTGGTCTGCCAGTGACTGTGAGCGGGGTTCGTGAATTCGTCCCAGATGGTAAGATGAAATCGATACTTACGATCTTTTGCTTAGGAACGCAGCCGGGTGGGCATTGACCAAGTCCAATGCTGGTCATCTCGTGCCCAATGTCGTCTACTTCTCGCCCCTCTCTCCCGCCCTAGCGCCTTTGGCGGAACCTCTACCTTTCTTGGCTCTCTTAATTATCTTCTTCCAGAGGAGGGTGAGCGAACCGGAAGCTTCAAGGTGATCTCGCACACTTTGACTGTCGACAAGTCTTCGTCGAAGTGGTGCGCCTTGATATCTCTGGTTCCAAATGGTGGTAAATGTGTACGAGAGGATGTTATGCTGTGTAGAATATGAAAGGAAGACCGTTCAAGTGTCAATGCGATGAGATTGACCGGCATTGAGAATGTTGTTGTGATAGTTGTAAGTTGAGAGTTCTGAAGCAGGACAGAGACTCTCTTATCTAGGCGTCAATGTGGCGAATTCACACTGCCTAGGGAAAATGTGAGTGAATACTGCTATGATAGGATCCAACGAAGCCTGCTTACTGCAATCTTCTTCCTCAGAGTGACCACGTGCATATTGACAATGAATTATCGCTTGCCCGCATTAACTAAGCGAGTGTAAACAAAACACACAGGGGCCGCTTTCGGCTTCCAAACAGGGACATGCATCGGCATGTAACCGTAGAACTTAAGCACATTGACAGTTCAATTGGAAATTGTGAATGCAATTCAATGACACTAAATCTGCAGATCAAAAGCTAAGGGTCCTCGACTTCGAGGGAATCGTCCTCCTGCATATAAAACGGCAACTCGTCTCCCCAGCCCTTCGATTTATCACTTGCAGCTCCACCTTCGAAATCCACATCCTCCATATCCACGATCCCTTCTTCCGAGTCTGGCTCATCGATCTCGTCAATTCTCTCTGGCGGGTCATCAAAGACCAAGCTCGTCCTACCACCCATCTTCCTCCTCAATCTTCTCGCGCTCGAGCCTGGCTGGTTTGCTTCCAGAAAGCTACCAGGCTCCATGTCCTCTATATCGGAATCGCTGCCAATACTTTCAGATAGCGTTCTCTTGCTTACGCCACTGGTGGCGCTGGCTCGCTTCGCTCGTCTTGCAGCAGCACGCGCTTTGAGGAAGAATTCCTGCCTGGCAAAGTCTTCCACCTCCTCGTCGTCGCTGTCATCTTCTTCGTCGGCGATATCAAATGATTTCAATTTGCTTCCAAAGTGTTGTGAGGGAAAGGGACTGTGTCCTCGACTGGTAATGGCTTCACTTTCTTCGGCATCGCTGTAGCTGCTCGGCCAAACGGTTTCATGGTGACCTAACTTGTCTATATCGCTGTCCTTGATTTCCTCAATCGTGAAATTGAAGTCCATGGACTTTTTGCTTATGCCCAAATTATCGTCTTCGCTCTCTTCGGCTTCTGGGACCGGGGACAATGATCTCGTTGAAGAAGCTGATGAATTGGAAGATGACTGGGGCGACAACGGAGGAGATATGACTACATCTCTTGGAGACATCGACGTGAATCTGAGTGCAAAAGTCGGGGTGGTCTCGCGTGATTGTGGGCGGAATGGAATGTTGCCCCATGGCTTGCCAGATGACGAGCCTTGAGAAAATTCAAACATATTCGGTTCAATAGGCTCAACGGATTCTGCTC